AATACTGTATACTTAGTTTTATTTTTAAAATAAATTTATAATTGAGTTATCTTCTGTTTCACATAGAGAATTCAATAGAACTAATATAACTAATGACAAACTATACGTCAAGTCTTAAGATTATTTTCACTATTCTAAAAGATTAATCATTCATATAACACTTTATTTCAAAAAGTCTAAATTCCTTATTTTTTTTCTTCTAAGTAATTTTCTATTTTATGAAGTATTTCTAATCAGTTCTGTGCTTTTAACTACTGCATTTAACATGAATTATAAACTACAATTGCTGTGTAACATTATGGAGATATCAGAAACAAGGTAAGAAAGGGAATATAAACAGTAATGAAAAGATCTGAGCCATTTATTAGTTGAGTGAAAGTAGTTTAGAAAAATGTATTTGTTTATGTGTCCTTCAAAAACATCTATCCATACATATACTCAATAGTCAAAAAATATTTCTGAAGAATCACATAAAGACAATAGAAGAACTTGATGCCCAGGATAAAGGAGTGGACAGGATACTTTTCACTACATACCTCTCTGTATCTTTTGATTAGTGTATATTCACTAGACACCATGCACATGTATCATATATTCAAAATCTTGGTCTTTCCATCCTACTATCTCTATTCTATTTTTTAGTCTTTATTCTTTGTTGTTGTTGTTAGAAGCCAATGAGTCAATTCTGACTCATGGTAACCCAATGTGTGCAGAGTAAGCCATGAGGTTTTCAAGGCTGTCTTCTTCTGAGCCACCTATGGGTGGGTTTGAACTGCTAACCTTTCAGCTAGTAATCTAGTACTTAAGGATCTGAGCACTCAGGGACTCCTTTATTAGCCTCATCAAATATCTAAGTGATGAAAAGACATTACCATCTATTAAAACCAGATTACAATGTTAAAAAAAGAGCACACTAAATATGCTTAAAAAACAAGGGCAGTTTCATATCCCACTGTAATATAGCAACAAGTATCAAACCTGCCATCCTGGCAAAAACTTTAGTTGAACAAAATATATGCAGTAACTGTTTTTAGACTTGAACAACAGGTGGAGCAAAACTAATCTCTGAGAGAAAGGAAACTAGTAAGGTGATCACCATACTTGTTTCAGCTTTCTGCTTGGGGGTATTTTCTTATTGTAGTTCAAAGAAGTGGAGTCTAAGAAAATTGAAGGACAGTGATGGAATCACTGAGCTGAGGAGGTAGAAAGCAGAGTTCCTGTCTGGTAAAGCAACTGGGATTTCTGAGGCAGAGTACAGAGAAGAGGGTCGACAAACGGGGCTCCTGAGAAGTCTGCATAGAAAGTCACCCTCGTTCTTTAGCCAGGGATGGGCTATACATACACAGTGTGATTCCCTGAGGCCTAGCAGGGATTGCCTATTGGAACTGAGAGTAGGGTTGTACAGGTCTGGAAAACACTGGTTATTTGGCCTAAACAAAGTGAAGACATCACTGAGGATCTCTGGCATTCATCTGAGATCCCTAAGAAAATCAAGTCTTAGGAATAAGTCAGGGTTCAGCAAGCTAAAGCTTGAGGGCCTAATCTGTTTTGTTGTTTGTTTTGTAAATAAAATTTTATTGGAAATCAGCTATGACTATTCATTTTCATATTGCCTATGGTTACTTTCATACTACAATAGCTGGTTGGGTAGTTGAGATAGAGACTCTATTAGAAAGCCTAAAAAATATTTACTATCTGGCCACTGGTGGCACAGTACCTAGGGCATTTGACAGCCAGTAACCAGTAGTTCAAATCCACCAGCCACTCCACAGAAGGTGGGGCAATCTATTTCTATAAAGATTTATAGCCTCAGAAACCAAATGGCGGTCAACATGAGTCAGAATTGACTCAGTGCCAGTGGGTTTAGTTTGGTTTTTGGTTACCCTGTTATAGAGTTATTCAACCTAAGCTATTTTATTTTCTCCAGCTATCTTCTTAAAAACTAATGATAAACTCTAAAATAATACTGTTTTCTTTAGGTTATTTCTATACTTAATATTTACAGTATACTGCTATGTTTCATTAATTCTCCTAACTCTTAAATATAATAGGCAAACTATTGGTTACGGTCTAGAAAATAGTTATTAAAATATATTTCAATTCAATGAACAGCCTTGCCATACATAAAAACTATATAAGGAGAGCAAACAATGCAATAAAATATTTACAAATATTAATTAAAAGAATCCCAAATGATCAATAAGAACTAGTTTTGAGTATCTCTTATAAGCTTTCTGTTCATCAATACTGAATACTGACATCTGCTGGAAAGAGTTAGATTTAAACCATAAAATATAACGTACTTGGACAGTAAGAAAGGTATGTTTCCAAAATGATCCCTAACATATCTGGAACAGAAAAATCTGTTTTTTCCATGGAAAATAAAATAACTACCAAACAAACAAACAAAAAAAGACCCAAACCCATTCCCATAGAGTCATATCTGACTCATTGCGACCCCTCCTTGGGTTTCCGAGGCAGCATTACTACAGAGGTAGATTGCCCAACCTTCCTTCTGAGGAGTAGCTGGTGAGTTTGAACTGCCAGCCTTCTAGTTAGCAGTCAAATGCCTTAGGCACTACAGTCAGCTTAAAATTAAAAATCACATGAAGTATGTTGCCATGTCAAGGCAACAGATTATAGGAAAACTGAGTTACACCCATACTGGAGCCCGTATCGAACTGACGGGCTCAGGAATAGTCAGGTATAGCAGGGATTGTGAGGCTGGCACAGGACCAGGCAGTGTTTCGTTCTGTTGTACACAAGTTTGCTGTGAGATGGAGATGCTTGATGGCACCTAACAACAATAACAATGTATCAAACTAGGCTCAGAATCTTTAATTGATCAAAAATTGAGACTGTTAATGCAATGTAAAGAGCTCTGGTGGTGCAGTGGCTAAAGTATTTGGCTGTTAACCAAAGGCTCAAGAGGTTCAAATTTACCAGCTGCTCCACAGGAGAAAGAGAAGGCACTCTGCTTCTGTAAAGACTTATAGAAACCCTATGGGGAAGTTCTACTCTGTCCCACAGGGTCACTGTGAGTCAGAATCGACTGGATGGCAGTGGTTTTAGTTTTTGTTTTAACGCAATGCACAATGGGACAATTCTCCAGACGAGAATATATTTACTAAGCAGTATCTTAATATGTAAACAGAAAATGTTTATTGTTAGTTATTGCCTACTAAAGTCCCAAGTCTTTAAATTAAAGCAGAGATGTCTCATGCCTCTCTGTAACTCCTTTCTTAATTAGCATACAACTTGCTCATAAGATTACAGACTATTACATGAAATTTATTAACAAAGTTATATATGGGACCCTCAAGTATGATGGCATTTTCATAAAATACCATGTCCTATATTACATGTATATAAATAACACATATTAAGAGATCCATACATCTAATTCCTAAAGAAATAAAAATAATTCCTAACATTCTTGCATGTAAATCAGTATAGCAGATTTTCAACTAAAGTTAGCTATGGTTTCCAAGTGAGTTATCCTTAAACCTGTCATACAGTAAGGGGAACAATCCTTTCTATCTCATGGACAAAAAAACTGACACAAAGTTATTAACTGAAAATAAAACTCTTAGAGAAAAACTATGTTCTTAAAAAAAAAAAAACACTTTATTAACTCAATACTGTGTTGCCTGTAATAGAAAAAGTTTGATTTTCACCTTATAAATCACTAAGGAAACACTTAAGTAAAATATGGTTTACCCATGTAGTGAATACAAAGCAGAATTTACAAATAATGAATTAGATCTGTGTAATAAGGCCATGGAAAGGTGTCAGAAAACAGATCTTTAGGTCAAAAGCAAAGCACAGAAAATAAAAGTATGTATATGGTATCGGGTAGTAGACTGTTACTGCCCACTCTATGGAGAAGACTGGGGTAAATTCACTTTTTACTTGACAGGATTTTTTTAAAAAAAAGAAAGAAAGAAAAGTATAGAGAGTTCATTTTACTTTCTTTTTAATTATACTTATCAAATTTCCCAAAGGAGACAAAAAATTTAAAAAAAATTGAGGAAAGAACTGGAAGAACCTAAGTTTTTCAAAGATATTAAAAAACAAAAAAAGCTATGGTATGTTTATTCTCAAAAGATTGCTAAATCCGTTAGTACTGAAATACTTCAGCAGAAAATTAACAAAGGCTAGAAAAGACTCATTATTTTAGAACAGTCCAGTTCATTGATATTTAAGACCACAAATTTGTCAGCAAGTAAACAGATACCTTTTCTAAGAGCATTTCTCTTTCATTTTCTACCTCTTTGCTCCAAACAGTCATATCATTCTTAGTTTTCTGTGTTACAGTCAGAATCATTAGTTTGCTGGTGGTCACTTCTGGAAATAGTGATTCAAAATCTAGAAAGAAAACAATAAAAATGCCAAGAAGAAAAGACTGGTTCAAAAAACCAAAACAAAATATATAAAATTACTTTAGAAATATGGGTCTTTAAACTATAAAAAAACAAACTCACTGCCATTGAGTCGATTGACTCATAGTGACTCCTCCTTGGGTTTCTGAAATGATTATCACTACAGAAGCACATTGCCCAATCTTCCTTCCAAAGAGTGGCTGGTGGGTTTGAATCGCCAGCTTTCTGGTGAGCAGTCAAAAATGCCTTAGGTGCTACGCCACCAGAGCTCCTGAGATACTATTTTTATAAATGCATATTATTTTTGAGAAAGGTAAAATAAACTTAGTTTTGTTTTTTTTTTTATTTTTTTTTATTTTTTTAGGATTTGGGTGAAGATTTACAGAGTAAATTCACTTTTCATACAGCAGTTCACATATACTTTGTCTCATGTCATTGACCAAAATTTACAA